CTAGGTTTACTCCTGGGGTTATAAATAGGTCTGTTAGTAACCCCAGGAGGTATCCCTGATTTCTGTAAACCTCTTTTCTAAATATTGAAAGGAACTCGCCGCTCTGCTCCCGAGGACGTAGGCATCTTTGCCGAACCTCGTTAAATCTCTGTGTTCTTCTGGATTTGTGTCGATTCTAGTTTTTCTTCGCCCTAATTTTCTCAACATCGTGTTTGAAATGGGCTAGTGTTTGAAATGACTCGTGAATGGTGTGTTCGTGTTCAGCTCGAATAATAGTTTTCCGGCTCGAGTTCGGCTCGAAATTGGAGGAATCATAAGAGGAAGATGTCTCAGAAGAGGAAGAGGAAGAGGAAGAACAAACCCTAAGCTCTCGCCGTCGAAACCATTTCGCGATTTTGAGAGGAGAAGGAGATGACTCAGAAGAGGAGGAGAGCGGCGAAAACAAACGACAAATCCTAAACTCTCGCAGTCGATTGCATTTCACAACTTTGAGAGGATGGAGTAGGAAGAGGGAGAAGCAGCCGCCGAACGCATTTTTCGCGATTTTGAGAGAAATGAGAAGAGTCGGCTAGAGCTTAGGGTTTAATATATATATATATATAACTTATATTATATAAATATATAACTTATATTTTATATTATAAATTATAATTTAAATATTTATATACCTTTTATAAATATTAATGCAGTTCGCGGCCAAGAGCTTAAATATATAACTTATATTATATAAATATATAATATTTATATAAGTAATATTTATTAATAATTTATTATATATTACAATTTATAGGATTTAATTTTTAAAATTTTGATAAATTTTTTTATTTTTAAAATTAAGTCAAATTAATAATATTAATAAAATTTATTGGGTGGAAGGAGATTATCATATTGTTCTTCATGGTGAATCCAACACAATAATTTGTAGAGTACTAAAGAAATAAGAGGTTATATTATAATGAATGAGATTTAAGTATAAGAATGATTTAGTAAGTCTTTTGTAAATATGAATTTAGTAAAATATAAATGGATTAAATCTCATAAATTAATTGACAATTGATTTAATAAATTCAGTCAAAACTATTTGACAACTTCCGCTATGACTTGAGAGATTGTTATGTTTCTTGGAATTAAAAAAATATAATCAAATTTTTATAGTTTATTAGTATGATTAAAATTAATTATTACATTTGATTTAATTTAATTTATATATATATACTTGTTACTAATTAATTATTTACCAAAATAATTAAGTATTAATAAAAAGGTAATAAACTAATTATTTATTAAGGAATAATTTAAGATTAATCAACTAATATTAAATTATATTAATTAAGGATTACGTAGAATTTTATTAAATAATTTAAATTTTAAGATGAATTCTTATTCAATAATTAGCTATTAAATTATTACATATAAATTTATTTAACTTGTGATTAATTTGATATTATGTTAATTAATTATTAATCAATAACACTAACTTAAATAAAAATAAATTAAAATCATAACAATTCCCCTCTTCCCCAGTCCACCTACGGAGAAAGATTTGCGTACGTAAGACTTTTGCAGAGCTGTGTACACCAGAGGTTATTCAAAGGGTATTAGGGAGCTATATCCGTGTTATACCCCCATGTAACATCTCTTTAACCTACCTATAACCCCTCAATACCCTCTGAATAACCTCCAATGTACACAGCTCTGCAAACATCTTACGTACGCAAACTTTTCTCCCACCTAAGGCTTCGGATTTATGACAACCACTATTTTATTTTGTCCAAAATGAATTTGTGGCAAGATTCAGCTTAAATTCAGGTTAAATTCTAATCAAATTCAGTTGCCAGAAAGACCTGGATTAATATATTCCCAAGCTTTCATTTTGGAAGGTCGGTGGGCAAAAATTCTGCAAGCAACCTTCGAGAAATTTAAATTTATAATTCTTAAGAAAAATATTTCGTGCATGTATTTGTAAATTATTTTTTTTTATTCTCCTAAGTTTAGACTATACTTTAATATTTTTTATTAAAAAAAATTAAATATGATTAATTTTCTTAAAAAACATTTGATTACTTAAAATACATTATTTGCATAAACTCCTATTATTTAGTCCTTCGTGGGTAAAAATAATAATTTTAAAATTTGCCAATATAGATAAGAATATAATTATAATATTTACAATATTTTAAAATAAATAAGTCCTTTCAAAAAATTATGTTCAACAATGAGCAAAGGGCCAAAATAGTCTTAGATTATTTTCATGAGACTGTTTTAATCCGATAATTTATAAAAGTGTCAAAATAATTCCCAGAATCTTTAAATTGTGGAAGAAATAGTTCCATGAAATGAAAAAAATATTACATTATGATGCAAAAATGCATCACGACTCTGATTAATGTCATCACGTGTACAGTCCGCCCCAATCGTGTATTAATTTTCTTAGTTTTGTTTAATAAGGTGGTGTGACTGTATATGTGGCAAACAGTGATTGGAGTCCCAGTGCATTTTTGCATCTGGATTCCTAATGTAATATTTTCTTCCATGAAAAACTATTAGAACTCAATTATAAAATAATTGGAGACTATTCTGACAATTCTATAAATTCTGAGGCTAAAAAAACTCTTATGTCACTTTACTCGTTCAACAATTATACGTGTTTGCACCCTAAGTTATTTTTTATCAAATTTCTAGAACTCTCATGCATATAACCCAAATAGTCTTTAAAAAAATAAAAAAAACGAATTATTTTATTTTATTTTTGAACCTAAAGTTATATATAGAATTTATTCTTTCCTTAAAAGCAACGCACTCAAAGTTTCCAAACTTACTTTGCCTTCTTTCCTTCCTTCTTTCTCTCTATTTATAAAGCTAACCCCGAAGCTCTGAGAGCCCGTTAAGTGCTTCAATCCTTTATTTACATTTTTCTCCTATTTCTCTCTTATTTCTTATAGCAGTTGTTTGTCTTCTAAGATGAGCGATCCTAAGTATGGGTATCCTTATCCTGCCCAAGGTATTAATCTCTTCTTCTATCTTTCCTCATCTCTGTAATTTTTAGGGTTTGAAGTAATTTTTAGGGTTTCCTAACTTATAACAAGAGAAATTGATAATCTTTTTATTGTTTGGGAGGAGAATATTTTCTGATAAAAATTGAGAAAATATTAGGTTTGGATAATCAGATGTGTAGATTATGACATGGATTGCACCACGTTGTAGATATGTCGCGTGCATAATGATATGGTGTGATTCACGTCATCATGTCCCGGATGAAGAGCGTAATATTTTCTCATCAGGGCAAGAGGGATGAGGACCTGAATAGCTCTTGCTTCACTAGATTTGAGAAAATGTTATGTAACTGTACAAAATTTAATTTTTTTCCTTAAATTCTCTTGTAATATATATATATATATATATGGTCAAAGGAAGGTGTTATGACCGGATTGTGTAGCGTTATTCAATTGCTTAATTAACAAAACAAGGTTAGAAAAGTAAATTATCTGATTTGTTAGCGTTAAATTATATGAGACATTGAGTTTAGTCTTGTGTCTAATAGTTCTAAAAATTATTGATGTAAAATATTAAGGCTGTTTACACACATGGCCCTTGAAACATTGTTATTTACAATTTCAACACCCTCATCTGTCATTTAAATTATCACTCAAATATCAAAATTTATGATAAAATCCCGACCAATTGTATTCATTTTTATCAAACTCACAAGGATTTGAAAAAAAAATTAAATATGATTAATTTTCTTAAAAAACATTTGATTACTTAAAATACATTATTTGCATAAACTCCTATTATTTAGTCCTTCGTGGGTAAAAATAATAATTTTAAAATTTGCCAATATAGATAAGAATATAATTATAATATTTACAATATTTTAAAATAAATAAGTCCTTTCAAAAAATTATGTTCAACAATGAGCAAAGGGCCAAAATAGTCTTAGATTATTTTCATGAGACTGTTTTAATCCGATAATTTATAAAAGTGTCAAAATAATTCCCAGAATCTTTAAATTGTGGAAGAAATAGTTCCATGAAATGAAAAAATATTACATTATGATGCAAAAATGCATCACAACTCTAATTACTGCTATAACGTGTACAGTCCGGCTCAACCGTGTATTAATTTTTTTTAGTTTTATTTAACAAGGTAGTGGGACTGTACATGTGGCAAATAGTGATTGGTGTCTCAGTGCATTTTTGCATCTGGATTCCTAATGTAATATTTTCTTCCATGAAAGACTATTAGAACTCAATTATAAAATAATTGGAGACTATTCTGACAATTCTATAAATTCTTAGGCTAAAAAAACTCCTTGAAATAATCGAGAACTATTATGTCACTTTACTCGTTCAACAATTATACGTGTTTGCGCCCTAAGTTATTATTTATCAAATTTCTAGAACTCTCATGCATATAACCCAAATAGTCTTTAAAAAAATAAAAAAAACGAATTATTTTATTTTATTTTTGAACCTAAAGTTATATATAGAATTTATTCTTTCCTTAAAGGCAACGCACTCAAAGTTTCCAAACTTACTTTGCCTTCTTTCCTTCCTTCTTTCTCTCTATTTATAAAGCTAACCCCGAAGCTCTGAGAGCCCGTTAAGTGCTTCAATCCTTTATTTACATTTTTCTCCTATTTCTCTCTTATTTCTTATAGCAGTTGTTTGTCTTCTAAGATGAGCGATCCTAAGTATGGGTATCCTTATCCTGCCCAAGGTATTAATCTCTTCTTCTATCTTTCCTCATCTCTGTAATTTTTAGGGTTTGAAGTAATTTTTAGGGTTTCCTAACTTATAACAAGAGAAATTGATAATCTTTTTATTGTTTGGGAGGAGAATATTTTCTGATAAAAATTGAGAAAATATTAGGTTTGGATAATCAGATGTGTAGATTATGACATGGATTGCACCACGTTGTAGATATGTCGCGTGCATAATGATATGGTGTGATTCACGTCATCATGTCCCGGATGAAGAGCGTAATATTTTCTCATCAGGGCAAGAGGGATGAGGACCTGAATAGCTCTTGCTTCACTAGATTTGAGAAAATGTTATGTAACTGTACAAAATTTAATTTTTTTCCTTAAATTCTCTTGTAATATATATATATATATATATGGTCAAAGGGAGGTGATATGACCGGATTGTGTAGCGTTATTCAATTGCTTAATTAACAAAACAAGGTTAGAAAAGTAAATTATCTGATTTGTTAGCGTTAAATTATATGAGACATTGAGTTTAGTCTTGTGTCTAATAGTTCTAAAAATTATTGATGTAAAATATTAAGGCTGTTTACACACATGGCCCTTGAAACATTGTTATTTACAATTTCAACACCCTCATCTGTCATTTAAATTATCACTCAAATATCAAAATTTATGATAAAATCCCGACCCATTGTATTCATTTTTATCAAACTCACAAGGATTTGACGTGCCGTGCGTAAATACATCGGTTTGTTACTTCAAAAAATATCAATTGGATGCTAAATTTTGCAAATAACAATGTTACGGGTGCTGTATATGTAATTTTCGCAAAATGTTAAGTTTATGTGAAGAAAAAATCTTTGATTCCTCACTAATGGTCTGGTTCCATGGTTCTATTCTTTGATTGCTTATAAATCTGCTTCCTTTGCCATAATCATGTAAATATTGTGTCACCGATGACTCTTTCATTAAATCTCAAAAAATAAAAAAAAGGAAGATTTACGAACATCCCACTCAATTCCTATGTAGTTACATACTTCAATTTTTACATACATACACATACCTCTTTACCTATGCATGAAGAGATATATTCCACTATCAAAAGTTAAAATGATAGTATTATTTATGTGATATGAAAGATTTTGATGGTATAAATATAAAAATCAAAATTTAAGCGTTAGATATGTAAATACATAGTATGCACTCAATGTTAACTAGATAGCATATTATGTAGATTAACAACTACTATATAGCTCATACAAAGAAGATTTAAATCAAATCAAATTAAATCCACACCGTTGATATAATCTCTTATAAATTTTTATTGTCCCATTTTTTTTTACAGGAATTATGTTGTATGTTTCTCTGTTTCTCTGTTTGCAGGATATTATCAAGGTCCTCCAGTCATGGCGCCGCCTCAGTATTCTGCAGCCCCGCCTCGAAGAGAAGTTGGTTTTCTTGAAGGATGGTATGATTCATTCATCTTATTAACAAAGTTATAAATAACATATTTCGAGTGCTATTCATGCTATTGTTCCTATTTTTATTTTTCTATACAATACAAAATTAATTCAAAACAACCGATAGAATTGAAGTTTAATCGTTTGATGCATTATTATGAGAATAAAATTATTATTCTATAATGACCCACAAATATCTTAATTCTTTCTTCTCATTATTTAAACTATGTTTCTTCTTTATTTGGTGCAGTCTTGCTGCTCTTTGCTGTTGTTTTCTTCTTGATGAGTGCTGCTGTGATCCATCGGTCGTCTTTGTCACTTAATGGGTATTAGTAAAGTTATTCTATTCAAAGCTTTTTTATTGTTTAATGTCAACTATGACATATGGGGTTAGCCAAAGGAGGTGTATTAGTTGAGAGAGAGAGAGAGATTTTGTAAAATATTGTATTTGCATGCTTTCCTTTATGTTGAGAGGATATTTTATATTTTTACTGTCAAAATAATGTAATGTTGGTGTGGTTTGTTTGATGTTTTGTTGATGTTTTAAAATGTATTAGTGTTCTTATATTGTTATAGTAATTTATTATTTTGTGAAATGCAAATTTATTTATCATTTTCTCTTTTTTTTTTAACTTAACATTGTTTCAACATCTCTCTAAATCCCTTTTATTGCATAAAGTGTGATTAGCAAGTGAGGTCAAATTAGAAATGAAGATGCCAAGATGCTTTTGAAAGTTTGAGTGGAAGTTCAAGTCTTGGCATCTAAAGTGGAAAGGGAGATGTTGGAACATGCAAGTGTGAAGAAATTCTTGAGATGTGGTTAGGGTGCTTCCACTTCCATGCCGTAATTCAAAATTGAATGTTAATATCAATGTGCACTTGTATTGAATATGCTAAAAAATTAAATAAAAAAACACTTGAAATTTACTCTCAAATATTAGTGGAAATCCTTTGATTGATTTCTATTATCCCAATAAACATATGAAGTTTTTTCTTCTTAGTATTTGTGATGCTTTTAGTGCCTAAATTTTCTTTTATTGCAAAAATATTATTTCATGCTGAGATGTAAAAGAGAGAGTAGTACTTTAACAACGGAGGTGAATTAAGAGTTGATTTTGCTATATATTTGTGATGAAAAGGTTTGTATTTTTTGCTTTCTTCATGGGATCACATGACCTAATGATTTAATCACTATAAATTTTAAGGATTTAAAGTTTATCCCAAAAAAAATATTTATCATCTTGCACAAAATTTTTAATTTGGTGATAGTTTAGATTAAATAATAACAATTCACTCACACAATAATTAACAAAACTAGCATTTCATGGCACATTTTGATCATTCACAATAAGCATGTCATTTTTACATAATTCATTAATTTTCTTAGCTTTATTTTGATTACATAATTCATTATTACATAAATCTTAGAGTGAAAATATATAAGAAATGACTTATTTTCTTAGGAACTATAATAGTTTAACAAAAAACTTTTATATGACTCCTTAATATGCACATTAACTTTAAGTTTTTGAATTTCATCTAGCTCTAAGAAAACAATATAATTGAAGTTATTAGACTCTTAAGAATGCATACCTTAATAGTTCTGACATTTTAGGTGCTTCTTTAAAGAATGTATTTAAAGGTTTTGTTAAAGGGTATTTTTCTACTGATTTAACTTTTTTCCTTAAAAGTTTTAGAAATGGCCTCTAGAACTATAGCATGGTCATTCCTAATGATATCATCATATATACTTCCTCACTTATTAATATTTTTTTCTTGAAAGATGTAATGGGCCATATTTCTAGCATTGCTCGCGCCATCTTGAAAATTCTACAACATCTTTTAGGAGTATGGGCCAGAAGTATCCTTATCTTTGTAAGTGGTAAGCTAAGGTTTTTTCTCTAGAATGATTGTCACATTCTCTGAAATGCACTTCTCGCAGCACCTGTTGGATTTTGTCTTTCCTTAGACATCTCAAGTATATCAAAGTAACATTTCTCCTAAATAACTTTTAGTCAATTAATAGGTACAAAGCAGATTAGATTCAAAAGTGTATTGGATCTTTGACGTTCTCCTCTATTTTCCTAGTTTCTAGATAGTGGATATATGGATCCACCTAGCTCTTGGTCCCTTCGGTGGCTATCTTCATGGCTTCCATCCCTTCCATTGCTGGTAAGGTGAGTTTTCTTGATATTCCTTCCAAATAGATGCAGTTAGAGAGAATTTGACTACTTGATTATCTTCCTGACTAATGTTCTCGATGTGAAAGCTCTTAAATCTTTCAATTTTTTTCTTCATCTAAGCGAGGTATCTGGCCATCATCTCGTTCCTAGCTTTGAATTCTCTATTAAATTGACTCACAATCAACAGTGAGTCAGACCTCACCAGAAGGTCTCGAGCCCTTTCTCATAAACCAGGTAGAGTCTGGTGATCGACACTTTGTACTCTGCCTAATTGTTTGTGACGTTGAATTTTACTGAGACTGACTGGTAGAGATGCCCTCCAATCAAGCTACACAGAACCAGACCCAGCTTTGTTGTTGCTTGCTTGGAGGCTTGTTGACCTCACTTTTCAGAGATAACTACTTCGTTCAGCTCCTCTGTCACGATGAAGTTAGCCAGAAAGTCTGCGATCATTTGGGCCTTGATTGTTGTCTGAGGGATGTAAGTGATGTTGAATTCACTAAGCTCCACTTCCCACTGTAGTAGTATGTCGGAGCGTTCTGGCTATGTGAGTACAGACTTCAACGGATGGTCCGTGATGACCTAGATCAGATGCATCTAAAAGTACGGTCGAAGTCTGTGAGCAGAAACAATCAAAACAGAGATTTGTTGTTTGCATTATTAGATACCGAGTTTTGGCGTCATGAAGTTGGCAGCTCGTGTAGTAGACCTTATATTGCATTTTTGCCTCCTCTCAAACCAAAACTGAGGTGACATCCTCTCGTTTGTCTCTGAGATACAGTGATAGTTTTTCCACTGGTTTTCAACTCTAGAGTAGTGGTGGTGATACCAAGGAGTCTTTCAAGTTTCTGAATTCGTCCTTACATTTGGTAATCCATTCAAAATGCTAAATCTTCCTCAGTGCTTTAACGAATGTCGTGCACTTGTCACTCTATTTCAGGATGAAACGACTTAGCCTAGCAACTTGTCCAACCAGCCTTTAGATTTCCTTGATATTTATGGAGTTTGCATGTCCAAGATCGTCTGCATTTTCTTTGGGTTGGCCTTCAACCCTTTCGGGGTTAGCAAAAAGCCAAGGAACTTTTTTGTCAACTCTCTGAAGGTACAATTGGAGGGATTTAATCTCATGCTAAATTTTTTGAGTGTTTCAAAGGTTTCTTTCAAAACTTTGATGTGTCATTCAGATATTTTACTTTTAACCAAAATATCATTGACATATACCTCAATGCTTTTTCCTTTCAGATTAGAAAAAAATACATCTGTAACGCATTGTTAGGTCGCCCCAACATTCTTAAGCTTGAAGGATATTATATTAAAACAAAATATGTCTGACGCCATGATGAAGGCCATTTTTTATTTGTCCGTCGGGAGCATATTTATTTGATGATAGTTAGAATAGGCATCAAGAAAACTCGTGACTGAATACCCAATCACTGCATCCACCAAGGTGCAATCTTTGATAGAGGATATGTATCTTTCAGGCAAGCGACGTTGAGGTTGGTGAAGTCGACGCACATCCACCACTTGATTTTGGCTTTCCTGACCATGACATTGTTAGAGAGCCAGATTGGGTACTAAACTTCAAGGATATAGCCAACTTCTAATAACTTCAGCACCTCCTCTGCAATGGGTTTGACCAAAGCTCTAACAGTCGACCGGATCTATCTGTTGGATTGACCGAGAGTAGGGACTAATGTTTAGTCAGTGACACGTTGTGTTGATCGAAACACCAAACATTTTTGTTGTTGTCCAAGTGAACACTTCACGGTGCTCCCAAAAACGACTGTCTCAGTTGATTCTTGAATGCTGCTTCAAATCATTCACTGATTAAAAAAGCCTTATCGGGTTCTGCGTCGGACACTAACACTTAGAGGATGGCCTCACTGGTCTTGAGACCCCCCTTCCTTTGAATATGGATGTTGAGGAGTTCATGGTCGATGCTCGAAACTACTCGCAAACAGAAGATTCTGGACTACTCTAAATTTTCTCGGATCGTAATTACTTCTTCATCGCCTGGGAACTTTACCGCCATATGGTAGGTAGAAGCTACCGCCCATTAGCTGTTTAGAAGTGGCTGACCGAAGATAGCATTGTAGGTTAGTAAGGATTTTAACATGAGAAAATCCATTGTATTATTGTACTTTTTTTTCCTGAATTCTCTCCAGAAGGTGACGATGACAATAAGCCCCAATACCTCCTTCCTTTCCTCATACAATCTGAATAACGAGCCAACCGATGTTATCAACAGGTCTACCTTCAAGCCGATCTTATTAAGGACCATCTTAAATAGGATGTTAACCAAATTCCTAATATCAACGAGGAAAATACCCACCTGGTAGTTGTTGATCAGTGTTGTGATGACGATTACCTCATTGTAGGGATTCCCCTTCGGTGTGAGATTTGAATTTGAAAAGACAATGGGTAACTAATTATGCGTATATGGGATGACTGAGCATACCTTATTGGAACTTTGTCTCTTCAGGCCGGAGGGTTCCCCCCCCCCCCCCCCCCCTCAAAGAGACTATTCCTGCCATGTGGACTTCATTTTTTAAGACAGGTCCATTTGGGGGTTCTACTTGTTGAGCTTTGCCATACCACTGCATATTTGCGTCAACTGCTATGAAATCTTTCAGCTTCTTGGCATGAATGAGCTCCTCAATCATATTTCAAAGGTGATGACGCTCCTCTGTGTTGTGGTCATGGTTGCGGTGGTATTGACACTACTTCTTCGGGTCCAATGAAGCTGGGGGTGCCTTCAGCAATGGTGCTGGTTTGAAATTGTCCTTATTTTGGATGGCCGGTACTATTTCAGCCATTGACACATTAAGAGATGTCTAGCCCTATATTTCTCGGTAATCATGTAGTAGCTCATAATATCGGGCAAACACTGGTTAAAGTGCCACTTTGGGGCATAGTATCCCAAGTTATTTCCCTGTTGATGTTGGAACCGAGGGTTATTGTTTTGGTGACAAGTAGAGGATTGTCTATCCCTTGGCCTTTAGGATTCACCCATATCACTCTGTTCTTTTGGGGGGGGGGGGGGGTTCGAGGGGGCGTTCGAATGATCCTAGCTTATCGTCCGGAGGGCCCTGGAGGTCTTCCTCAGCAAGTATGTGCTCGTTCACCATTTCAAACACTTCTGCAAAAGTGATAGGTTTGAAAAAAAATTAAATCATAGATGAACCCCTTACTTTAGACCACTCCTTTTAGGGCTTTTTCGACTATTGTGTGATTCATATTTCTGACTTCTAATATCTCATTTTGGAAATGGGTAACGTAAGGCCGATGGCTCTCGTTTTTCTCCTTGTTTGATGTCATGCAGGGTTTACGAGTCCTTCCTATTTTCTGTATGTTTGAGAAGTACTAAAGGAATACCCCTTAGAACTTGTAATAACTCAGAATGTTTTTGGGCGACAGATTGTTAAACAATCAAAGGTTGACTCCTTCAGGGTGGTTAGGAATTGGGGACATGGTATGGGGTCATTAAACATAAGTAGAGAGACTGATGACTCAAAATACGCTAAGTGGTCGATCGAGTCGATCCTCCATTTGTAGGAGTCTAGACGAGGGACTCTTAGCTTGGGCGGGGGTACCACTTCTTTGATATGCCTAGTAAATTCCACTCCTGCGGGCGACTAGATAAGTACCTGCATCCGTTCTTCCCGATGTATGTTTGCCTGTGCAGACACACCGTTGTTAGTGTGCTAGGATAATCTTTTTCCTTCTGTCCGTTGGTTGCTAACTGATTGTTGAGGACAAATGGGTTCGCCTGTGGGGGCCTCTGAGGGCGGACCCCCTGAGGTTGTGTCTCCAAATGAGGTGTATGGTTGTTCCTCCTGGTGTATGCTACGTGGAGGATCTCAAATTGCTCCATCATGAGAGTCATATGGGCTTACAACTCATGGACTTCCGTTTGGACACTGACTGTGTAGCCTCCCTATTGGGTTCCATAAGCACTATCTCTCTTTGAGAATTTTCTTCTTTGTAGTTAGCCTTGCTTTTCTTTTGGAGCATGTCCTGCAACACCTTTCAAAATGTTGGATCCTAGTTTGTCTTTTGTGGATCACATTCTGCGAGTTAGGGTCTGTTTGGGGCAGCTGCAGCTTATTGAATAATCGACTGATAAGCGGATAAAAATAATCTATTAATAAGTTAGGTGTGGTAGCTATTAGAAATTTTTGTTTTTTTTGGAAAAGCCAAACCGCTTCTAGAAAGCTGCCACCGCACCTGGATAGGTGCAGTGTGAAAAGACTGTTTTCAGCTTTTTCAGAATGCATAAGTTGTCAAAATGCAGTTTACCCAAAAACTTCAGGTGCGATTTCAAAACGCCGCCGCACCAAATAAGCTGCCTCAAACAGACCCTTAGAGCTGAGTGAAGGAGAGAAGAAAGAGAAAATAGAATAAGTCTAGGATTTTTGTAGAAAGAATCTAGTGGAAAGGTCCCTTTATTCATATTTTTACCATGCACTTATAGAGTCATGTTTTATATAATTACAGAAAAGGGCAATAGTTATGAAAACTGTTCTTAATGTCATAAAAACTCTGGTTGAATGCATAGATTTTATGTTATCTTTGTATTATAATTTGAATTTCAACATTGGCGGTAATTGACTGATCAACTAGCTTGAAGTCTACCGACTGAGGTGACCGACCAAGTATCATCGGTGCCATCTAGAGTACGCGTTGGTCACTCGAGATGTTTAGCTGTATAAAGATCTCTCTTGGTGTCTTTTGACTCGGTCGATCAAAGAGGTCAGTTGTGAGGTGGTTATTCGGTTCGGACGCGAGGTTGGCCAAATTTTACAGAGCTTGTGCCTTACCCACGAGGTCGGTTCGTTGCCTTAACTGGATCTCCCAATCTTGTAAGGACTTAAGCGGATCCTGTCGCGGTCCACGTGGCGTATCCGATGAGACTTGTTGCCTGCACACTCACTTTCGACGGGTCTTGTAGCTACCGAACGGGGAATCGTCTCCGAAGCTTGAACATATCCCAAATTTGGAGACACAACTTCATGTTTCATGTTTCATGCTTCATGCTCAACCTTAAGGGTTTGTTTGGGGCAGCTGTTGATTATTTTTAATCTGCTGATAAACAGATTATTCTCATAATCTAACAATCTGCAGATTATCAGAATAATCTGCCTTGCTGTTCTCATAATCTAACAATCTGCAGATTATTAGAATAATCTGTCTTGCTGTTTGAGGCAGCTTATTCAGAACAACTTATTGGTAGTTATGGGTGTAAAAATGAACTTTTTTCCCCGACATTTTTGCCTGTCTGTAAGAACTGTTTGGGGCAGCTTATTCAGAACAGCTTATTGGTGCAGAAACATAAAATCATCACAGATCAGTTCCATACCATGACATACAATTCTCACACTCTCGTGAGTATCAGAAAAAATAAAAAAAAAAGATAAAGACAAGCTTAATTAATCCAACTACAAAAAAAACAGATAAATAAGACAATATAGAACTCCAAATGTAGGCATTCAAATATCCAAGAAATAATAAGTTCATAGCTTGATGGTCCAGATAAACAATACAAATGAGAGCATTTAAAAGTTTAATCATCTAGAATAACAAGTAAATATTCCATAAAATAAAAAAATAAGTACACAAAAGATTCACGTGGTTCGGTCAAAGACCTATGTTCACGGAAGGAAAGACACGAATGTTTTTATTATGAACTTCTTGAGGATACAATGATACATAGCTGCCAATCATATCAAAATACACAAATAAGCTTATTACAACATCCACTCAACCATTGAAGCTCTCAAACATCTTCTCAAATGTGAACTTCGGCCAGCCTTTAAAAAAAAAAAATTGAAAACCGAAAACTATAATTGCATATGCCTCTTCTCTATGAGCCCCAACATCTCTTCCCTAAACATGAACAATTGCATATTTCTACATATGAACTTCGGCCAACATTTCAAAGAAAAAATTGAAAACTAAAAAACTGAAAAATATAGGCTCCTCTCTTTGTGCCCCAACATCTCTTCTCATATTGGCAAATGTTATATATGGAACAAAAAAACCGTCTCAATTACAGTAGTTTTTGCAAAATATATGGAACACAAACCCTCTACAATTTCAATAGTGTATGCAAAATATATGGAACACAAACCCTCAAAATTGAAAAATGAACAACTGACAATACAATATACAGTATACCAAATTTCAGAATAGCTCAATGTTGCATACGATATACCAAATTTCAGCCAAAAAGAATTTCAGCAACCAACATAGATCAGAAGATAAGAGGCAACTTCGAAGACACAGAAAATTTTTTAGGTTGAAAACCATTAAGGAGAAGCATAGATCAGGAGATAAGAGGCAACTTTGAAGCCCTACAAAAATCCATAAATACGATTCCAGGCAACAATCCAAGGCAAAGAACTTATACCCTAAACGATATCTAAAGTATTTCAATGGGATCGAACACAGAGACGAGGTAGAGGGCTAGGAGCGGCGAGAGAGCGAGACGAAAGAGGGGAGACACAGATCTAGGGCAAGGCAAGACAGGATCGAAAGGGGGTGCGAGACGAGATCAAATGAGCAGCAGGGTAATAAGTTACTCCGAAACGCTGAAACGCAGGGTGCTATCAGCGGCGAATGATCCATCGGACAATAGGCAAATGCTTTATGCGATTATTGGCACCGCAGTGATGAACGTTTTTCCCAAACAGGACCACGATCTTTTCAAAATGACGAACGTAATTTTAATCTCCCCCAAACGGTACCTAAATCTTGTTTGGGAGGCCTTCCATTTTAGTGATCACTAACGATGAAGCCCAAAAAATAGCTCGTGTTCGGCTAACGAGTCGAACAGGTTTTCTTAAGGAGCGCAACACGAACGAGCCCTACTTATTCCCCAGAGGCCGGAAAGAGCAAGGTGAAAGAGGCGGAGAGGGAGAGGGAGAGGGAGAGGGAGAGGGGGGGCGATGAACGTGGACGAAGAAGTAGGGCGGCTAAAGGAAGAGATCCAGCGATTGGGTCAGTCCCAGCCTGATGGCTCTTTTAAGGTAAGGCGCCTTCAAAGATCTCTCATTATCCCCCTTTACCTCCCCCTTATATTATCGCCTTTCCTCCATGTTTTTGTAGATCTAAATGTTACTATTTATTTTCATCCCATCAACCGTTTTTTAAAATCTGTAAGACATTGCGGATTGATTTGTAGATCTCCTAACATATTAATCTTTCTCTCAGGCCTTATTATAATGTTGATTTTAGGGTTTTGTTTCTTTTGACTTGTTATCAAGTTGAGTTCTCGAGCTTTTTTGGTTTTTGGCCAAAAAAAAAAAGAGTATTTTTTGGACTATTTAGATCAATAATAAGGCCCATGACACTAATTTTTTTAGCAGAAAGAAAACTTAAAACTAGTAAAAAGGTTACCCAAACAAATAAGAAAAATGCAATTTTTATGATTTCTTTTGTTGGTAGGGGTGCTCTAGACATCTCAAAAGCGAAGAAAGCTGCTGATGAGTTGTATACTCAAATGCGGGTATACAAAAATTTTTTGCTAAAAAATAAATTAATTTAGGGCCTGTTTGGGGCAGCTTATAAGTGCGCGATGCTTTTGAAAACACCGTCTAACCATTTGTTTTGCGCGTTTTTGAAAATATTACCTGCCGCGTTTGAGTTTTTTACACTAAAAACTGGCCGTGGGTCGACCCCTGCTTATCCTGAAACGCACAAGCTGCTCCAAACAGACCCTTAGGGCCCGTTTGAGGTATGACCCGTTTGAGGCAGCTTATATGTGCGACGGCATTTTGAAAACGCCGCCTCCATGTTTGTTTCTGCCCGTTTGAGGCAGCTTATATGTGCGACGACATTTTGAAAATGCCGCCTCCATGTTTGTTTCTCGCGGTGGAGCCGCGTATGTGGAAAACGAGTTTTTAAATTTGCATTACACGCGGATCGCGGGTCTATCCCCGCTAGCCGCATTTGGATTCCTAGTTTTTACTCCCCTGCCCCTCTGCCCTCGAAATAGTCCCGCATCTCCTCTTTGGTTCGAATGATTCTTTCCGAGCTCCTCTTCTGCCTCCTTGGCCGAAGTCGCTCCGCAGGTAAGGTCTATTCTCCTCCCTGCGTTCCTCCCTGCGCTCGTCCCTCCTCTCCCCTAGTCCTGCATCTCCTCTTTTGTTTCTCCTGGACGTTCCTTCTGTGGAAATTATCGATGAATATGGAGCTGTTTAGTAGATGAATATGGAAATCAGTTTAGAGTTGATGGATATTTATTGTGGAAATGTAGATTCATTTTTTTTCGGTGAATATGGAGGTGATTTCACTGTTTAGAATTGTTCTCGCTCTCTTTCTCCTTCAGTTATATTTCTGGATTATAGATCCAATGGTGATCTCTTAACGTTACAGTGGGATTGTGTTCCATATGCTTGATCTGTGATTTTAACTTATTTTTTAACATATTATATGCTTGATCTATGATTTCGGTGAATGTTGGGGATTTCCTTTTGTTGTTGTGGCTATGAAAAATTTGAAACATAATCAATCTTTATCCCGATGTATATGCAATCTCATATGGCAAGATCTATATGGAGTATTTATCATTTGCTCAGTTTACAAAATTATATGGAAGATCTTCATGCAGTTTTTTCGCAACCCTATATGCAGACTTAAATAATGCATGATCTATTTGCTCGGTTTGAAGTTTGTCATGAATATATGTTCCGAATATTCATCTCTTTTCTAGTTAGAAGTATAAATTACAGTTTCCATTTTTCAAAGATCAATTATAGAGATAACTACAGGAGTGATTTTCATTTCTCCATGCATTTCCTCTCTTCCATAAAAATTAGATAATGTAAGCAATTTAATACAACAGAAGATAACAATGCCAAATGAAGCCTGAATCGGATGTTTGAGATTGTTTTGTTTTGACTGCATATGTATTATTAGCTGATGTTTGGGTTGGTTTGGTTCAATTCAAGCTTAGAATTGATTATCTAGTATAAGTTTAGTATTTATTACCAATTGGAATTATGTTTTTGATCATTGTTTATTGTGAATGAGGATTATCAATCTTCAATACAGATAATACAAAAGAATGAATTGCAGTTTATATGTTCAAATGACTCATTTCAAATGACTCAATCTCAGAATAATTATTATGCTTTCCTTCCAACAAAAATTATGTTTTTGACCATTGTTTATATGTGTCAGAGCAGGGCAGCATAAGCCGTGATATGCTGCTATATTTTAAAGTCAACATTATAATTTTTTTTCTTGTCATTTTGACATATTATTTTTTCTTTTTTTTGGGTCTCATTATACTCCATATTAGTATGTGAAGGTGCATTTTATTTTTGGTATGCGTAACTTTGCTCGTTTGATGTGATCGAATATATTTGAGTTATATAAATGTAACACTATTTTTTTGTATTATCTTATCTTAACATTTGATATCTAATTTTGTTAAGAAAATAACAAATTCTGTTACACAGATTATTAATTCAACTAAACAAAATTGCAAATAAGCTGTTTACAAAAAACACAAGCCAAATCGCTAAGCAACTTATTCAGAACAGGGGCAAAATTGTCATTTTTTCAGAATCAGTTGTTTTTCAAACGCACAAACCAAACAACCAGACAGCTTATCTGAATCAGCTGCTCATCAGCAGATTATCAGGATAAATTGCTTATCAGCAGAAGTTGGATAAGTTGCAGCTGCCCCAAACAGACCCTTAATGTCATTTAGGGTCTATTTGAGAAGCTGCGGGCGACGTTTTTTTCACCGCCGTTCCGTTTGATTTGTGCGTTTTTCCAACTTCTCCGAAAACTACATTTCTGTTTAGTTGCGGCACGCAGGGATCACCCTGCGGGCTGCATTCGTTCACACCTTATTACTCGGATGCCCTCCGAATTAGCTATCACGCTCCTCCCTCCTTCTTCGGCCTGATCCCTGCGGGCTGCATTTGTTCACACCTTATTACTCGGATGCCCTCTGAATTAGCTATCACGCTCCTCCCTCCTTCGGCCCTAGCTGCTGCTCCATCCTTCTTTGGCCCAACCAAGAACTCTTCTCCCCCATTTGACAGAATTCTTCTCTACCTGGCAAACACTTGCTTTTTTTTTTTCCTTCTGCTCTCCTTCTCGCAATGGTCTAAGAACCTTAAGGTTCCAAAAAAAAATACTTGCGGAAGATCTATAATGCTTTGATGTCTGGAGATAAGTACCTTTTTTTTCCTTTTTAATAAACATGTGTCTCGAATGCTTGGACAGAAATATCATTTTTTAACTCATTCGGTAGTATGAAAGGTTGGGTAAGGCTACTCGTGGAAACAGATTAATTTGATGTTGAATTGATCGGATGGGAGGAAGTTGTTTTGGCAATTCAGCAAGCATAACATTTGCAAACTGCTGTAGTAATTCCTGCACTTCCTTTGGTAGATTAATCTGTTAACAATGAGTTGGAATTCTGAAAAAAAAAATGGAAGGTCATTATTTCCTACAATTTATGCTACATAATCTGTTAACAATGAGCGATGCTTGCATTTTGCAATTTACCGTGAACCTTAAGTGTTGGAGATCTTATTGCTTGTTGTTAAGAATAGCTCGATTCATACTTTTTCTAGTAGCTATTGCAATGTAAGCCTTAAGTGTTGGATCAATGGTATGAATAGAGCATTTCTTCATGGTGATTTGATAAACAATTCTTCATGGTGTAAGCCTTAAGTGATAGCATTTCTTCAATGGTATGTAAGCCTTTAAGTGTTAGATCAATGGTATGAAGATAGCATTTCATTCATAATTTTCATTTTTTGGTGGAACGATGGTTAAAATGAGGCCGCTCAATTTGTGTTCTCCTATAGCAGTTGCATTTTAAAAATGGTTGAACGATTGCTCAATTTACTTTACTCGTGCTTTAAAAATGTTTTTCCCTTTGGGTTGAGCTCACTTGTTGAAAGTCAGAATGGTGGTATAATCCTTGAATTAAAGAATGTGATTTGGGAAACATAAAGCCTACACTTTTTTTTTTTTTTGATGTGTTTTCACATAAAGCCTACATTGGTGTCATTTTCAATGTGAAGATATGGGTGGTATATGTTCAAAGATTTGAAATTTCTATTTTATCTTATTTTTCTCCTCAAAATACTTAATTTTTAGGGAATTTTACATACATACTACAAATTTCTTATGTATTTACATGTCTAACACCTAAAGTTCGATATTTAACTTTATAGCACCTTGATGCCTATGCATGAGGAAATGTATTTCACTTTTAGAAAGTTAGAAATGGTGGTATTTTTTATTTGATAATTAAATTTTGAGTGTCAAGTACGTAAATGATGCCTATGCATGAGGAGATGTATTTCGCTTTTAGAAAGTTAGGAATGGTGGTATTTTTGATTTGATGCTTAAAATTTGAGTGGCAAGCAGGTAAATTTAAAATTTTAGGTGCTAAAGATGTAAATATATAAGAATTGTTTGGTATGTATTTAAATGTCCCTAATTATTTGCTATTTGCTTGTCCACGAACTTACTCTTTCAAAGCATCATATCATAGGATGAAAGGAGTATCTTTTTGTTTTGATGATGGTAAAGTCATGATTCATGTTTTTTAAAATGAGTGGTAAATATCAAGTGAATCTTTAAAGCCAAATTAATGACACATTTTCATGTCTTAACATTTCTGTGTTTATATATCCCAAGATTTGAGATGTCTTGGTTTTGAAAGGTCTGACAATAACCCATTGAGATGCTGGATGCTTCAAAATATTATATCATTTGCTTTGCAATTATTTATAAAGGAGTCTGAAATGTGCTTCTCTTTTTTTTGTTATGAAAATTTTTTTTGTTATATTTAGTTATTTGAAACCTACACTATCTTTTTTTGGGACATTTTCTGTTATGAAACAAATTATTCATATTATCCTATTTATTTGACAGTCCCTAATGAGTAAAACCAAAGAGATCGGATCATCGGCCATGTGAGATAGGGAGATCACTATTATATTTTATAATGTCTGTCGTAGGGAGGTAGAGCTGGAAAATAGTCCTACCATATATTTTAACAAAGAAGGGTGACAAAATGTTTTGGTTAAATTCAAGGAATTGACAAAAAATATTATGATAGGATAAAATTTAAGAACAAGTGAAATCAATGAAAAAAAGATTGAAAAGTATGGAAAAAACTAAAAAGGGGATCACCGAGATTGGGTTGGGGTCCTTTAAAGCGGACAATTGATGCACTGAATGATTGATGGATTGAGAAATTACAGTTAATGACATACCAAAAATTACTTCTTCTTTCATTGTCTATCCCACTAAGATGATTTAACTGATAAAAGTTGTAATATCTTACAGGTAGTGTCGTCAGCTAAGAAATTTAAAATTAGTGGCATTGATCCAGTTCTGGAAGAGAAGTTAGACATGTTCAGTAGGGTTGTCTCAATGAGCCCTCATTCTTTCACCCCAAGCGAGCAGGGGTTTATCAGCTTACCAGAGGTCATGGGAACCGAGTAGGTAAGTGACTCAGGAGAAGGCCCCAGCCAAATCCACAGGGATGTTGAATCCATGTGCGAGTCAAAGCGGCCCAAGGTGAAGAAAAGGAAAAAAGGAGCCATATTTATCAGAGACATAATAATAAAATTTGTTGAATCCTGCACAGTTAAGCCTGGTGCCTCACAGGACGCATTCATTGACGACTGTTTTCGAATGCTAGATACATATCCTGAAGTTAAGACGAAAAAGAGCTTTATGTAAATTTTGTGAAGTTGTTGGAGGACCCAACCCACAGACAGTTTTTCATGAATATAGATTCAAAATTTCGAGTCAATTAATTACGCTCTTTCATGAATAAATGACTGTTTTAAGTCATTATCTGTCTGTATTCTTATTAAACCTTCAAATTTGTTTCATGGTTTGTTTAATTGCTTTCTATGACGCACAATTAATATGCTTTGATCATATTATTAGTGATTATTATAGCCCGTTTTTCAGATATTCTTTTTTTTTTCAAATGGATTAAGTTCTTCTATGTTAAGTTTTGTACATTGTCCTTTTCCAAACTATTATAAGATGGATCCAGAACAATTGCACTACAACAGAAAAGTTGTTATCATTCATACTCTGTTATACGAGTACTACCTTTCCTACATCGACCGAACCCCCTGTATGACTTCGAGTTATATTGTGAGTTATTATTGGGCCACCCAACAAGGTTTGCCTACATGTTCCGTATGACAATAGAGATATTTATCGATCAGCTTAATGAACTTCAAAACCCTCATAAATTACATGACTCAACAAGAATGATAAAAAGAGAGGTATTAGCAATGACCCTCTACATCTTATCATATAATGAATCTATTAGATGAGCTATAGAGTGATTTCATGTTCATCGGAGAATATCAGTAGGTATTTCTCTGTGGTTTTGAATGCTCTTGTAAATTTGACGTCCAAGATAGTTAAGCCTGAGGATCCCACATTCGAGTCCATTCCTACACATTTTGCAAATGACATAGATGTCATTCTTCAAGTTATTTTTTACAAAATATCATTCATACATTAACATGAGTTACATGTGAAATTATAATGAACTATATCTATTATGACAGAACTCTATTAGAGTCATTGACGGAATGCACGTCTATGCACGACTATCTGGTACAGAGAAGGTCGCCTATATTGAACAGTGTGGCTCTCCCACACAAAATGTGATGATCGTGTGTGACTTAACATGTGCTTCACTTTTGTTATAACTGGATGAGAAGATAGCGCACACGATAACCGTGTTTTTAAGTTTGCAATAAAAAACCAAAGAAATTGCTTCTCGTACCCACCTCCAGCTATCTAAATATCACAAATACGTTCGATATTTTTTATTTATTACTAATTAACTTATTTGTGCAGGTAAATATTACTTAGTTGCGTTGGATATCATTTACAGAGGGGGTATCTAAAGTCATACATTGATACGAAATACCACATTCTCGATTTTGAAAGATCCAGTGGGGTTGCACGCGGTAGGAAAAATGTTTAACAAGAAGCACTTCTCTTTACGCAGTGTAATCGAAAGATCATTCAGAGTGTGGAAGAAGAAGTGAGTGATATTACGTGATATGCTAACTCACCCGTTTCCGAAGCAAGAGCAGATAGTAGTGGCCATTATGACACCACACAACTACATTCGACGACACTTCTTTAGATCGGATGTAGACTTCACCCTTGTAGAAGATGATCAGCTCCAGCTCCCTTCAGAAGTATTTGAATTTGATGTGGGACAATCAATACCACAACTACAAATGAAATCACAAGATGCTCACACATGAGAGGGTGAAGGTGCATCAGAGATGACAGTATTGAGAGAGCAGATAGCAGATGACATTTTTCAATCTCGAATAGGCTTGTCATGTTAATTTAAGAATCTTTATATTTATTATATCTCAATTATATCACAAATATTTTTGGATTTTAAACTTTCATGTGATTGTTTTTTTCTTTATTTTATGTTTGAGTTTTATATGTTTTTTTTTTGTGGATTTGTGAGGTTCATGATGAGACTTTGGATTTTATGGGTTTTTCTGGATGATCTATTGCTCGTTGCTGGTTAGTGTTACATGTGAAATCTCAATGAAAACAACAAAATAGTTTTCTTCTTCTCGGTGCATTAGTTTATGTGGCATTTTTGGATGGCTTTTTTGTGTACATGCACAATGAAGGTAACCAAATACCTCTTTTCTTTTTGGTGCAATGATTTTTTAGGCTACTCTGGATTGCCTTAAAGGAAAATTTTATAAGATGGTTGAGAGACCTGCAATGCTCTATGGTGCTAAATGTTGGCCTTTAAAAGAGAAGCATAATACTAAGTTAATTTTTGCCGAGATGAGAATGATTAGGTGGATGAGTGACTTTACAAGTAGAGACAAAATGCGAAATGAATATATCCGTGATAGGGTTGGTGTAGCTCCAGTGACGGACAAAATTAGAGAGAGTCGTCTTAGATGATTTGGTCACATTAATCTTCAACTATCTGATGAACCAATTAGGAGAGTAGATGTTTTATATTTGACTTATGTTAAGAAAGGCAGAGGTAGACCTATGAAGTTTTGGGCTTATTGTATAAAAAATGATCTTAATTTATTAGAACTAAATGAAAATATGATACTAAATATGACGCAATGGAGAAAAATGATTCATGTAGCCGATCTCACATAGTGGGATTAAAGCTTTGTTGTTTTTGTTGTTGTTCCTTAGCTTGCCTTTTATCTCATAGTCTTATGTATTCCAATTCACATTTGATCACTAACTATTGCCCACTGGTTTTTTTCCTAGAAAATTGATATTTATTTTTCCTATGTTATTTTGTATCTATAACAATAATTAAAATATTAAGTGTCTGAAAAATATCAAATTGACATAAAATACATAACATGAAAACAAAAATATTATCACATGATAACATGATAATGGTCATCGGCCTAAGTGTATCATAAAGAGTATCCTTTCGTGCTAATAAAAACTATTGCATCGAAGTAGGATAGATAAAATGATTGCCAAAATTTATAAATACATACTAAACTATCAATACTTAACCCATACCTTTTATTTATGCCTTTAACATTAGCCCTTTTTCAAGTCGATTGTCTGATGATTAATTATTTTTTTCTTAACGTTATATATCTAATATACTTCGCTAAAATGCAGAATTAAAATGCCTCTTCAACTAAGGGTTTGTTGGGGCAGCTGCAGCTTACCCAACTTATCCAGATAAGCAGTTTATCCTGATAAACAACTGATCAGCAGCTGATTCAGATAAGCTGGCTGACTGTTTAGTTTGTGCGTTTGAAAAATAACTGATTTGCAGATATTTTTGGATAAATGATCATTCTGTCTCTGATCTGGATAAACTGGATAGCTGTTTGATTTGTGTGTTTGAAAAACAATTGATTTGCAGTTATTTCTGGATCAATGACCATTGATCACCCAAAGTTACACTTCTGTTACTAGAACTACTACTACTAAAATTACATTCCATGTATTCAATTTTCGTTCTACTCAAATGAAGGCTTTTAAACTTCAATTTAGACCTCCATAATTCAAGTTTTTTTTTGGGCTTTTTCTCCCACATTATCCACGAGAAGGATATCATTAGCAAAAAACAAAAGAAAAGTTAGGGAAAAAGAGAATAAAACATTGCTTGGAGATCAATAACAAAATATGTTTATAAATACGGTTTTTTGTGGGCTATGAAGACTTCATATAACACATCTCTAAGAAATCATTTTGTCGAACAAACACACAAATACATAATGTTGAAAAATCATCCTACTTCCTCAAACAAATAAATGATTACATAATTTCATAGCGAAATTATTATTCATGTCAGACAGAATGAAGGCCCAAGTAATATTAGTAATCACATGCAAAGTAATTACACTTTTAAGTGGTATTAGTTGTTGTTGTATATTCATATTTGATTTTAGGCGGGAGTAGTATGCCATTTATATTTGGGGTTCTTACATAGCACTCAAAACATTAAAATTTACCTGTATCACACCTAAACTTTTATATTTACGTATAAAGCACTCCGTAACCCTCCTGTTTTCTTTGCTGCTGATTCGGTAGAGAGGTGGAAATCACGCTGTAACTTCTTCTCTTCCTCTCTTCCACCGTCTCTATTGTTTCTACCTCATTCGGTGCCATGACAGACTGGATTGATGGCCCAATCTTGGATAAGATTAGCAACAATTGCTTTGATTACATGCAAGATCAATATAGATGGGAGACAGACATGAAGGAGGAACTGGAAAGGCCGCCAGAGAACCACCCCAAGGTCCAAGTTGTCGTCTCTGCTTCCAATCATTCCTCCCGGTGATGTGCCGATGACCACAATGACGAAGTTTTGGAAAAAATGAGTCTGATTTCCACATCTCTACCGGATCAGCGGCAAAGAAAATGGGAGGAGAGTTACGGAGTGCTTTATACATAAATATCAAAGGTTAGGTTTGATAATAGTAAATTTTGATGTTTTCAGTGCTATGTACCCCATTATATTTTTATCCTAATCTTTCCTGCATGAGTAATAATTTTAGTATAATGAATCCAACAATTAGAATTATAGAATATAGGTCTATTCTCTGTCACAATCTTTCTCCAAAAAATTAACGTTTAGAGAATAAAAAGTATATAGTATTTAACAATCATTTTATGAAGCAATAATTGTAATTATGCAACCAAACAGATTAATAATATTGAGTTTAATCATAATTTTATTAGGAAAAACCATGCTAAAATCTGCTGCTATTTGGAATGTGAGCCTACAACCAATGTTTGTAAAAGAGGTTCCATTATTTGGTTTAAACAGAAAAATTAAATCAAACTGAGCATATTTGATTAATTTAGTTTGATTGATGAAATAACAATTCGATTTTTTATTCCAATTTTTTGGTTGTCGGTTCGGTTATTAAAAACACGAAAAATTGTTAAACCGAAAATTGAATTATATTATGATTAACTAAATCTATCATACAATTTGTTTAATAAATTTGTCAACAAATTCTGTAATTGGTAGTATTTTGAAGAACAGAATTTTAATTTATAACAAGAATTAGGTTAATAATAGGTTTGGGATCACAGTAATTAATATTTCAAAATATATTTAGAAATTCAAAACAAGAAAAAAATCAAAGAGAATAGCTTCTTAATTACAGTTGTAATTATTGCGTTTTTATTTATAATCAATAATTTTAGGTACTTAAAATTCTTTTAATTATCTCTTCTAATTCTGCTCTTCTTTCATAGCTCATTTTAGTTGAAGTTATAGATCATATGTTATTTAATTTATTTTATAGTTGACATATAACTTGAAATCATCTTCCAAAATATATTATCTAATAAAATTAAATATAAATGTCAATTTTTAGAGGAATTAATAGGAAAAT